CTGACTTCCCAGGATACAGATTATGGGGCCAATTCTAATTTTACAGATCTATAGTATCATTATAAGGTGCCACAGAAACTCTTAGCAGATCTGAAGGACATGGTTAGTGCTGTGAAATGCACCAACCATTGTTAAATAAACTTGAAAAGTTCCTGCTATACTAGTTCCCTCTCTAGGATCAAATTAGCTGGTTGTCATTGAGTATAAAATGCCATTATTTTACGCTATCATAGATCTGACTAACTTGAAGCAAATAGGGAAAAATTCTTACATCATCAAGTCTACAAGCCTTTTCACAGAGATGTTTCTTGTACAGTTCAAATAAACATGATAAGCTTCTAAGTCTATTAAATGCACAAAGTTACTCATTTCTTCAGAGTTCCAAAAATAAAATTTCAGTATAGCTAAAATGGTTAAGAAACTCTATAGCACTATATAAATCTTCCTTTCAAAACTATGGGTCCTAGCTAGATGGGGCACATATCTGTATTCCAAGTGCCTGGGAGATAGAAGGAAGATAATATGCATTTAAGACCAGCCTGGGCTGTACAGCAAGCTCCAGTCTGTACTGCATGGTGAGACCCTATCTCAACAAACTGGGTACAGTATTTGCCTGAATTTGAGTCATCACAAAACAAGAACTACAGGTCCTAACACATTTCAGTGACAGTGATTTTGTATGAAGAGTTCACAGAAATTAATTGTGAAAACAGACCAGATGTGACCTTATGTAAAATTATTAAACTTGGGTATTTAAATTTTCATGAAAGTATATTTTATAACTTAAATAATATAAAAATGTTAAGGCCAGATGTGATAGGGACATCTTAAATCCCAGTACTCAGTGGACAGAGGCAGGCAGGTCTTTGTGAATTCAAGGCTAGCAATGAGTTCCAGGCCAGCTAGGCTACATAGTGAATTCAAGTCTCAAAAAAAAATTTTTTTAAGTGCTTATGTATATAAACAGATACATTTATTTTATTAAAACTCTAAGTGCATTCTCTACACTTAGACCTCATGACAAGAATAGTAGATTGGGATATCAACTATGATTTAGTATAACCATTAAAAATAAGAAGAAGATGGAAAAACAAACTGAAGAAATAAAGGGCATCCTAACAGGCCCACGTAACATTTCTTTTCATTGTTAGGTTGATATGATACAGATTTTACATGCCAAGCAAATTAAGAAGAACTGAATGGGAAAGAGTCCTCAGAAAACAGAAAGAAACTTCATGAAACTATGAACAATGAAGGCTTTCTATGTATTAGCTACAATGAACTTCTTCTACAAACCTCATCAAATCTCACCAAATGACAAGGTACTACCAGTAGTAGTTTGCCTCAGCCTGGCCTACAAAATACAGAATCTGGTTTAGAGAAATCCCTCCCTCGTTAAGTGAGCAGCCTAGGAAGGACAGAGGCTGTCCTCACACTGGGGTCCGCTTACCCTCTCTTGTCCTCTGCCAGGAACCTCCAGGGCTGCCCTCTCCTCCTTCTGGGCTTTGTTCTGGTTTAACCATTTATTACAGCTCAAAATGCATTACTGCCCCAAGGGCATCTCTCCTAATTTTCCAGCTTAACCGAAGTCACCCACCTCATACTCTGTCTACCTTTCCTTTAGTGCACATATCACAATTAAAATTCATTGTCCAACTGAGAATTTAATTTTGTCATCCCTTGTCTGCAAGCTTGTTAATTCCAAGACAGTTGGAATTCTACAAGACACCAGCACTGAGCCCAGAGCCTTACCAATAGTAGACACTTGGGCAGAAGGTGTAGCCCGGTGGGTAGTGTGCACAGTTAGCATATATAAGAAGTGTCTGTTTATTCAAACCGCTTACTGTTTTATCAAGTATTGCTCAACATTTACTACCGAGTTATTATCTCAGCTTTACCTTCCTCTTAAGTTCCAGACTCATCCTGAATGCTTAATGAGCTGCTTAAATTTAACATTTTCATAATTTCTTGATCATGACCCCACCACTAAATTTTCTTCCTTTCCCATCTTGCTTATGTCAATGACCACCATTTGCCCTGTTTTTAAGGTGGCTGAAATAATTTTTAATTCATCTTTTTTTGGCATCCCATATTCAAACCAATCTTTCAATAACTCCTTAAAATTGTATATACTAATAAATATGTTAGCAGTCTTGTCCAAGCCTCTATCTTCCCATGTCTGGCCTCTTAGCTTAGTCTCTCCAAATTCACTTCTGGCTGCCTTATCCCATTATCTCTTGTTCACACAAGGCCAAATACCTTCTTCACACCCCTGCCCCTGGGTACTACAAGGGCTAGGTTATGTCTGTCTGACCCATGTGCATACATACCCAGTAGATAGCATGCTGAGCAGACGGATGGCAGATAAACAATAATTATTGGTTGAAGGAACAGTTTAAAATGTAGATTCCTAGGCTTCATCCCTGGAAATTCTGACCCTGCATTTCTTAGTCATCTACAGGTGACTGATGCTGAGTCCACCAGGCAACCCGGATCTCTCTTCTTGGGATACTTCATAGCTGTCCTGTTTGCTGTCACTTGGGATCTCTGCCTTCTCAGTACACACAGACCTCTGAATTGTCCCTGAGACTTGGAAGAAATGAGAAGCAAAACCTCCTCTGGGAAACACTAGGGAAGCCAACTTGAAATGGTTAATCTTCAAGAAAGATATAATATGATCAGAAAAATCGTCAGCTTATCAGAACTATTGGCATACAGCATTAATTTGGTGGAAGGGGTTAAACACATACAATTCTTAATTTTTTATGTCAGAGAAACTAAACCACGAATGAAATTTAAATTTAACTTCATCTATGATTAAGTCTTCCACAAGGTCAACTGAAATCTAAACAATGACTGGATATCCTCCTGCTCTTTCCTAGTGTGTTTATTTGGAGCCAGGTGTTAACAGCTAAGGGAATTAATGAATGCCAACAGTGGAATGGAAAAAGAAACCTCACTCTCAAAGAAATTCAAAATAGTGTTTATCCTAAGGACGCTTCTTTACCCATGCAGAACTGTTCTAGAGTGTTTTATCCACTCAAACTTGGTTAAGTACATAAGGAATTAGGATTCTATACATGTGTATATTCATTTAAAATTCAGGGATAGCATATAACCCCATATAAAGAAATTCTAAATACAACAGAAAAGTTATCAAAGAAACATTAAATGGTCTAGTCATTGAACAAGGTCTTTACATCTAAAATTCTTGTAACTATAAGACACATTTTGAACTCAGACTCCCTCCAAGGAAAAGATATTAGATTTTTGGCTAAGCTTCAGTTACTCCAAATGTTCCTTCATAAAAAGAGCACGTGATGAAGACTTGACTAATTCACTATGACTTGTGCAATAATCATTATGCTTGTATCTGTTTCTAGGAGCGCGCACACACACATATACACACACACACACAACAGCGAGCAGACAGGAAGTGGGGAGAGTCTGTCAGTTATTTATATACTAAAATCACACCTTCTATCTGCTTACCTCCTTTCCCCTGTTCAGGGCCTAACACATGCTAGCACTCATAACACTGCACACAAGTCCCCACCCCACCTTTTCTTCCTTTTCATTTGAGACAAGATATTACTATACTGCCCAAGGTGGCCCTGAACTGCTTCTACAGTCCCGGCAGACCTTGCACTCGCAAGCTCCCCAAGTTGCTGTATAAAAGGACTGGTTTTTCTTAGCTCCTTTAGAGTCAGGCATAATCCTCAGAATCAAGGAGAAACAGCTTACTGGTGAAGTCAAATGAGTCAGTTTCACAGATTTCAAACTACACCCATCACTCTGGATACTTGAGAGAGGGTGGTCTCTTCTAAGTGCCTCTGTTCCTGCCTTCCTCCCCAGCCTCCTCACCTGAGGGGCTTTTTCTCCGGGCCCACGTCTGCAAAGCCCATTCCCTCCAGTTTGCAGCGCCTGTAAAGCTCATAGTGCCGCGTATGGGTCTGCTCCCGCAGGTCCTCCATGTTTGTGCAGATAAGCATTTCCCGCAGCTTTACAAAGTCACAGTGATTTTCATTTTCCACTAGCCGGAGAAAAACAAGAGAAAATGCTAGCTTTTCATTCCTGGCACACAGCTAGCGCTTGTCAAATGAGCAAATAAATGAACACAAATGAAATGACAAACAGCAAATGGTCAACTCTGATTAATGGCTACTATCATTACATACAGGTAACCAAGGAAGAAACTCTGAATTACAGGTAATATTATTAACAGACTGAGAGATCTGCTTCAAATACAGTAGCAAATGGATAAAAGGAAATAGCAAAGAAATATTTCCATTGCTCTATGTTCCAGGTTCACTAATATTTCGTTAGTTTACCAACTCTACACTCAAGACATCTTACATAGTACTTTAAAAAGAATAAGTAACATTATTTCACTCTGAAGTAGTAAATTCTGTTAAGATCTATAATGATCAAATTCTTTTTCTACAATATTAATGAATTTATATTAAATATTATTCATAATTAATAAATACATTGGTATGGTTATTCTATTTTTACAATTACCAAAAGACTATAAATAGCTATATTACAGTGACCAAGACTTTTAAATAAAAATTTCGAAATTTATTTATTTAGTTGAGACAGCCTTCATCGTGTTGCACAAATTGGCACCAATCTTGAAATCTTCTGGCTTTAACTAGAGGCATACCATACCTGGTTTATTTTACATTTGAATTAATTAAAAGGTTTTCCCAGTTTTTTACATTTATTTAAAATTACTATCATCTGGGCATGGTGGTATACGCTTAGAATCCCAGTACTCCAGAGCTAGAGACAAGAGTACCAAACTTTCCAGCCAGCTGCACTACACAGCAAGACCACTTCATAAAATTAAAATCAACACCCCCAAAATGTAAGAAATGCTCTGAAGCCAGTGATAGTACAAGTGATAGTACAAGTTAATTTCCATTTAACGCCATCAGAATTAAGGCCAAATGGGGTGGTACGGGCCTATAATGTCCCTCAAACACGAGTTCCAGGCCAGCCTGGGCTACAAAGCAAAGCAGAATCTTAAAACTTCAAAACAAAAAGCTTACTATAATGCCAGATAAGTGGATTTACCTTTTTAAGTTGGCTTACTAGTTCTGTTTGAAAATAGTTTAATAATACTTTGATCAGAAAACATACAAATATTCTCAAGATGGTATACTATGCCCTGTCCTACACAGGGCATTTCATACCATGTTGGGGTTTGTGTTTGTTTGGTTGGTTGGTTTTGGGGTTTTTGTTTTTGTTTTTTGACACATGGTTTCTCTGTGTAGCCTTGGAACTCTGTGTAGTCCTGGGACTCGCTCTGTAGACCAGGTTAGCCCTGAACTCACAGAGATCCGCCTGCCTCTGACTCCCGAGTGCTGGAAGTAAAGGTGTGCACCACCACTGCCCAGCTGCATATCATGTTTAACCACTACTTTAGATTTAAATTCTAATCAAGGACCAGGGATGGAGTTGCACAAAGCAGGCCCTAGCATGCTCAAACACACTGGCTGGATCCCCAGCATCAAAGAAAAAGCCACATTCGGATCTAAGTACATGTCCATGTATCTGACACTGTGAAGGTAACCAGCAGAGGAGACAAGGTACGACAAAGGAGACTAGGAAGACTCTGTCCACAGACTTTGAACCAAGCAGTGTACAGACAACTCCTGATTATTAATTATAATCCAAATAAGCATCACCTCAAACAAATTGTCAAATTCAATTCTGAGGTTAGCAGGCAACACATACATTTTCTGTCATCATTTATCTTATTTACCTTGCACAATACCCCACGGATACTGGCGAGCTTTGACCATCTTATTTCCAACTTGTATCTCATCCATACTTCCTACAACTGCAAACGGCAAGTGTCCCTGGAAAGGAACCAAACATCAATCTCATCATCTTCTACTACAGTATCAGTGACTGAAATAACAGAGAATAATTAAACAGAAATTCTACTCATCTTGGGAGATGTACTAATTATCCTACAAGTTAATTTTGGACACTACAAAGAAAAACTATTTAATGCACATTTCCACATACAAGGCACATTGTTATTTAGAATTTTAAAAAGAAAGAAAAGGAGAAGCAGGAGAATTTTGATACATGTGACACTGTCACCAACATAAAATGATGCTAGTGTAATAATGCTACAGAGAGAAGAGGAAAAAGAGATGACTGAGAACACAGAGGTGCACTCCAAGCTGGGCTAGGACCACAGGGGTTAGATCTAACAGGAGGAAAGTCTACATAGGGACTCCCAGGAACATGCAGCAGCTCAGCGGGGGTTAGGAGCGCTGAATCTGTGGCCTGAAATACGGGGAGAAGATCACTGTAAAAAGAAATAACGTTTCATATTTAGTAACTAAATAATGATTTCTACACTGTCGGATAAATTACTAATGGACATTGACTAAATTAGATATAAAGGCAATTTAATACACGGGAATCCAGATCACCTCATCTATATAATCAGGATTTTAGAGATTTAGTTTCCTATGATCGTGATTGCAGTGTTAATCTTCGCTGTCAGTGGGACTAGATTCAGAACCACCTGTGTGGGTCTCAGGTTTAACTGCAGGGAGACCCATCCTGGTCATGGGCAGCACCATCATGGGCTGGGGATCCATACATAATAGAAAGGGGACCAGCCTGGGCAGCAGCAGCTGCTTGTGTTTGCTTACAGCAGATGCGCTGTGAGCAGCTCTGTCTGCCTCTGCTGCGAGGACTCCGATAACGTGATGGACTGAGATCTCAAACTACAAGCCAAAGTAAACTGGAGTCAGTTGTCCGAACTTTGTCATAGAAAAGCATCCAATACAGTGGTGCATGCCAAATCAGAAAAGGGAAAGGAACGCAAAAGAACGAACAGTCAGAGTGGATTGTTAGGCAAGTAGCTGGGGGTGCATCACTTAACCCTCAGGTCAGCCCTCGCATAGACTACTAACCAAATCTTACAGACAAGTTAACAGTCTCCAGATGTTACTGTCATAAAAAGCCTGAGCCTCAAACTCACGCTCCTTTAAAATACAACAAAGCATTTAAGAAGTGTGAAACTTCAAGAAAAAGAAAGAACTTAGTCATCTTAGGTACATTAAATTAAGCTTTGCATTTGTACAGGTGACACTCTAAGGGAAGGTGAGGGTCAACATCAGCTTCAAGAGTTCTTCTTAAAAACTAAAAATTCTAAAGCATTCCAAGGGAGGCTGCACAGTCAGTCCTTCATGTTTTCAAAACAGGACAGGAAGGAACCAGCCTGAGGTAATTAACTACGGTTCAACTAAAGGTAAACCCGAGTCCTACAAGGATTTACTTTATTCAGGTGGAAACGAAAAAAAGGAAAGTGTACATAAAGACACTCAGTGCCTGTTCTCAACAGCAGCAAACATTTCTTCTACTGGATGTTCTGACATTGCACCTTATTTGAAGTCTTTTGGGGGAACACAAGTGAAAACATATCCCACGAGTCTCCCTTTATTTATGGGTCATACATTCCAAGAACCCAATAGATGCCTGAAAGTATGACCTGTGCACAGCCCCATAAATAGTATGCTTTCTTCTATTCAGCATGCCTATGGACGTTTATAAATTAGGTACCATAGAGATTAATAACTTATGACCAAATCAGACATTAAACACTTTAAAAAACAACAATACATGACTGTGTCTCTTTCAAAACACTATTGTACTAGAATCACCATTGTTTTGATGATGTCAGTTGGTACAATGACTGTGATAAGATTTCATCATGCTATTCAGATTGGCTTACGACTGAAAACTAGTCATTTATTTCTGCAATTTTCCATTTTCTATGTTCACAGTAGTAACTAAAACCTCAGGAAGCAAAGCCTCCGATAAGTGGGGCTGCTGTGGCAACAATGTCCCTCCGAAGTCAGCTTTATTTTCACACACAGAACAGACTGATAGGCAGTGGGGAGCTCACATTCATTGCACCATTGATCTTGGCAGTAGTGTCATCATCTGTTGGAAACTGATAGATCTGAACACCATTGACGACCAATTCACTCATGAGCTTCATCTTAAACTTCTGCAATTCGCTCTTAGAAATTGTATCTGCCTTGGCAATTAATGGTATAATGTTCACCTATTAAGAAAGAAAATCCACAATCTCATCACGGAAGATTGGCTTTTGAATCATGCTGTCACAGTTTTTCCATACAAAACAATTCAGTCTCTGACAATAACTTTCTCTGACCAGGAGTTGCTACCTGTTTTTTTATAAATCATGTAAGCTGAAACACCACCACATTTATTCATTTATTCTGCTTTCCTGTTACAGGAGCTCAAAGGAGTTGCCATAAAGAGCATAGGAGGCTGACATAGTTTACTACCTGCCCTTTAACAGAAAAAGTGTAGATCTCCCTAAGCAAAACAATGACTAGTTTTCACAGATGTAATGTTCTTATACACCCATTCCTATAGATGCTAGGTTATGAAAATTTTTTTAAAAGGCTTTGGTAAAATTAAATTTGCATTTGCATTTAGAATCTCCTTATCTTCTCTCCCCCTCAAAGTATTTTTCAATCCACACAACGTAAGTAGAACATAACAAACTATGAGCAAAAATCACCTGCTTAGTTCACTAACAACTTTTATTTCTTTATAAACTGGGTATTAAAGTAATTAGGTAACTGATCCCCAGGAATACTAACAGGTGGCATTTCTCTTTCTGTCTCTTCTTTCATCCTTTACTCACCTCAGACGGGGCCTAGTCATCAGCGATGCCTACCTACCTACAGTACTGGGAGGAAAGCGCCAGAACCAGCTAAGTGCTGTGATGCAAAGGACTGGCCTCCTCAGCACTGCTTCAGGCCTCCTCTGCTAGAGAGGAAGAAAGGTGGGGTTATGAAGACTAACTCATAAGCTCAGTCCTCCATGAGACTCATGGCCACACAAAAGGCTGATGTCACCATAACTGGGTTTCACCATCATGCTTTTCTAGTAGAACCCCGAACCCGAACCCTTAGGTTAATGAACTAGATACATGTGAAAAAGGAGAGATCACAATGTAATTTTCCAAATAGTGAAAATAAAAATACAGCTGCAATCCCTATTGAGTTTTCAAATGTTTTTCTCTTTTCTAATTCTGCACTGGCTCAGTATATGCCTCTCTATTTACTAGCCTTCCATCCGCTTAGAAGGAAATGACAGTTTTGACAACTATCTATGAAGTGGATGGCAGAAAACTCTGCAACAATATGAGGAAACAGGATTCATGTTGAATCTGTCAAAGTACATAAAAGTTTTAGTGCCAAGTCCTTGGTTTCAAGAATCTATACTTAGATATTCAGTAATTTTTGTCACAGTTTATAAATTATAACTGCTTCCATAACTGCATAAATATGTACAATACCAATGTGCACACAGGGAAGGAAATAACGGATGCTGCCAAAGATGGTCATTTGTCACCATCTGAATAAGACAACAGTAACTTTCCATGTCAAGCAGCCACGTGTTTGGCTCTCAACTCTAAGAGGAGGCCTGGGGAACCTTAAGAAGCCAGCAGTCTCCATCTCTCCCTAGTACTCAACGGAAATTAAGTTTCCAAAGCCTGCCCAAGGCCTAGTGGGTAACAGCTACCCCTACTAGAACAACAATGACTATATATATATATATGTATGTATGTATGTATATATACATACACATATATACATACATATATACATACACACTACTGTATATCCATCAAATTACTTCCAAAATTAAGTAGTTGGGGCTTGTCTTAAGTTTTTTTTTTTTTAACTTTCAAGAAAGATGACAAAATTCATTCTCTCATTTGCTACAGAAAGCTAAAGGCAGGGTTGTGCCGGAGACCCAGTTTGAGGATTTGCTCCCATCACCTGAATAAAACAGAAGAGGGTGGACTCAGTCTTCCCATGAGTGACTAATGCCGACAAACTTCTACTGTCACCAGAAAGCATTTCACTTCACAGTGGTTGGCAGTGTGTAATATGTGTAACTCTTGGGAGGTAAGGGGTTGGATTAGAGTTCTCATGGTCTCTTTTGAAAATCCACTAAGAGCTTATTAATACAAACTGCTCCTGCAGAGATAAGGTAGCTACTTGGCCAGTATAAGAATATTTGAAATAAGATTTTTGACTATCAATAAAAAAAATAATAGAATGAGTAACATAGTTGTTTCCTATGCACAAAAGTAACTGTTTTGCAATACATCTCACATATCTTCATAGGAGTCTTAATGTGAGCTCACTATCAGTGAAAACACGAAAGCCTGGTAGTTGGCTCAGTGCTACAAGCTAGGAAGTGGCCAGGCTGAAGGTGAGTGAGACAATGACCCAATTCCTCTCTATTATTTATTTAATTTTATAAATGTATTGAAGTGCTAAGAATTGGACCTAGGGCCTTGCACATGCTAGGAAAGTACCTATCTGTGAAATGTGACATTGTTATTTTTTCCTTTCTTAGATAAAATACTGATATTATTATTATTTTTTTTTTTTTTTTTTTTTTTGAGACAAGATCTCATTCTATTGTCCAAGCTGGCTTCAAACTCCTGGTCTAAAGCAATTCTCCTGCATCAGCCTCCCCAACCAACTGGGATTACAAGTGTATCACAGCACCCTAGCTTCTACTGCCTATTTCACAGGAGAATGTTATATTGAAAAGCCCAGCAGGCCGTGGCTAACAACCTTCTTATACAAAATACTAGAAAAACAAAAAGAGAGAGGATGCTTAATTTCACAAGGAAGGTTACACTTTGAAATAAAAAAAAAGAATGTATTTAAAAATCATCAAACCTGGAGATTAGGTAATATGTATTTATAGACTATAATAAAACAATTCTCTGTCCATGACATACAATTGTATTCTGGCTACTTAGCCTTTAGTTACATGGATTAATTCATTTTCACATCTACACTTCAAGGCAGGGCTTCCCCTGCTTTGTACAGTAGGGAAAGAGGAAACTGAGGCACAGAGCACTAAGGCACTTGCCACAGATGAAACTTCTAATAAGGGATAAAACCAAGATTGAAAATCACTCCCCACTGATAAATTCTATAATCTTTATAACACTGTATCATACATGTCTATCATACTCTTTTCTATAAGGCAAAATTCCACTTTTGATTTTAATCCTTTAAAAAGCACAGATTTGTATATAAACAGATTTCTTTGGGACGAGGGCAGTAACTAGTCTTTTTCAACTTTTAGATAAATATAAAAATCTTCCATGACTTAATTTATGGAACTGTTTTTATAACCTCCTAAATTTATAAATAGCTACTTGCTTCAAAAATTCAGGAACAAATTTTCTTGGTAAGGTCTAAACGAAAACATATTTCACCAAGATGAAATATTATGCTTTATAATCTTTGTCAAAGAAGTTACTCCTCTCACTTATGTCTGAAATAAAATTATGTCAAATAAGTTCTATATGAAAATTTACAGAACAATTATAACAAATGTATACACTAAGAAGAGAACTTTTAGTATTTGTTTAGTATTTGTATCTCATTTTCCAGACTAAATTTCCCTGGAAAAATGTTTTAAAGACAGAGTAAAAGCTACAAAGTATGTGCACATTATCATAAAAAGACTTTACTATTTCAAGTGTACTGAAATTCGAGAAGTTGGTTGCTTCCCTAATCCACCTTGCTGTCCAGGCTCTTCATGGTCAAGAGGTCAAGTGTCCGTAGAGAATGGCCTGTTGGAGCAATGAAGTAGAGGCACACGTGGATGCGGGAGTCGTGGTAGTTGAAAAGAGCACGCTTGATCTTCAACTCTTCTTGGAGATAGGCTTCAAACTGATCATCTATGTAATCAACTATTGGTTGATAGCTGAAAAAAATAAGTATTTCAAAAAAATTATTATTTCAATATTTATTACAATATATCCATGCTATCTTAGTAAGGAACTTGTACAATTCTCAAGTCTGAGGTCTGTATCTTCCAGTAATATCAGTTAGTATCTACACCAACCAAACAGGTAACTACAGTACTAACACATAATATGTATAATCTACACACATGAAGGTAATTCTGCCAAAACATTAGGATAATCTAGAGCTCAGTAGTTCTCAACCTTCCTAATGCTGTGGCCCTTTAATATAGTTCCTTCATGCTGTGATAACCCTCAACTATAAATTTATTTCATTGCTACTTCATAACTGTAATTTTGCTACTGTTATAAACTGTAATATAAATATCTGATATTAATGATATCTGATATGACTCCAAAGGGGACACAACCCACAGGTTGAGAACTACTGATCTAGTTAGAAATCATTAAGTTGACAAAGATTCATTTCTACATCCATTCACACACTAGGTTCAGTTCTTTAAGACTTCTACAATTGCCCCCAAGCAGTTAGGAGCTTAACATACAATTAAAGTGATACATGGCATATTGTTTAATTGGTTAAAAAAGGAAAAGTTATCAACTAAAATATATAGGTCAAGGTGACTGACTTCCTGTTCTCATTACATCTATAGACATGAAAAGTTTAACCCACAAAAGAAGAAAAGCCAGTATCAGCTGAAAATATCTAACTGGTAATACTGGCATGGTATTATTTTCAGTTAATTATAAACAAGGCAATTACATGTTGTGCTCCATTTCTTACCCAGATAAACCCCATATTCCCTCTAGCTGTCTCAGTCTATTATTCATCCTTTGAAATACAAATCAAATCAGTATACGCGAAAACAGTGTAGCTAATCTTGGATCATGATGAGTTTGTCAATTTTCCACTTCATTTTGATATGCTAAATGAATGCTTATGCAACTTATCTCTATGTGTTCATGTATGCAGGTGTACATGTGGGAACCAGAGGACAACCTCAGAACACAGCTGCTTTGTTTATTGAAACAAGTCATCTCATTAGCTTGGGGCCTGCAGATTCTGCGAGGCTGGCTGGCGGGCTAGCCCCAAGGATCCTCAGTCTCCAACTCTCCAGCACTGAGATTAAAATCAAGTGCCACTGTGCCCACTTTTTTATTTTTCATATGGGTTCTGGAGAGCAGGTCATCATACTTACGCACTTTACTGACCGGACTATCTCCCTAGCCCTTCTACCTTTCTGCTGTTAACTTCATTAAATAATCCAGGACCATAAATAAAACAATAGCAAGTCAAACATTATGAAGATTTACAAATTAAAAACATCACAGAAACACTATCTGTCATGAAGATATTTTAATAGTTCAAAACAGTTTCTTTCCTAATCCACCTTGATGCCTGGGCTCTGGACACTCCATGGACATCTTTGTAACCCTACAGAAGAGCGGTGAAAGTAAATGTAGACACGCAGATAAAACGGAATTCTTTTACAGTTGTCTGATAATCCTTGGAGACCAGTGTTTCTTCTAAAACACAGAATAGTGTATTCTCCCACTATAGACAGCAAACTGTTTGTGGAGAAAGCCAGCATCTTCATAATTCTGTTTTCTATAAGAATTAGCATAATGCTTTGAACATTATAAGAACTGGGTTCATTATCAGAATGATTACTACCAATACCAAAAAAAGTCCCTTAGAATACTGGTCTAAACATGACTCGGTAATATTCCCTTCCAAAAAATGAAGAGTAAAACCTTTAAATACTAACATAAAAATTTCAAAGAAGCATTCATTAATGACTTAAAATAGGTTAGTAAGGACTTATTACACAACTTAAATCTTAAAATTTTTCAAAAATAAAACCATAGATAACTGTTAGTTAAACAAACAGGAGTTCTTCCATAGTAATTTATCCTGTTTCTAATTCCAGTAAATAGAAAACACCATTTCTTTCTTT